TGTGTGTGTGTGTCTGTGTGTGTGAGTGTGTGTGTGTGCGTGTTTGTGTGTGTGTGTTTGTGTGTGTGAGTGTGTGTGTGTCTGTGTGTGTGTGTGTGTGTCTGTGTGTGTGTGTGTGTGTTTGTGTGTGTGAGTGTTTGTGTGTTCGACCCAAAGCTGTCTGGAGTCTGTAACCAGCAGCATTTGCTGCCTGAAGTCATTTCTTTGCTACAGCACTCTCTCAGCTTCAAGCTACAACTCTTCTCTTCCAGCAAATGCATGGCCAGATAAATTGAAACCAGAAAACCTTCTTAAACTCCAACAATCTCCAAGACTATGTCACTTGTTCCAGCTACCCTTAACATGACCTTTAGGACTAAGTATCCTTTATTTACAATTGGTGCTTTGATCTGGTGATGTAAATATGTTTTAACACCTTTCAGAGCTCACTGAATGCTTTTAAGCTAATTTAACTCTCAAATAAACAATCTCCTTTAATCTGTTTCTCGTGGTAGACTGGTTAGCAAGGTTAGATCACATGGAATACAGAGACATCTAGCCATTTGGATACAGAATTAGCTCAAAGGTAGAAGACAGAGAGTGGTGGTGGAGGGTTGCTTTTCAAACTGGAGACCTGTGACCAGCAGTGTGCCCCAAGGATCGGTTTTGGATCCACGACTTTTCGGCATTTTTATAAACGATTTGGATGTGAACATAGGAGGTAAGGTTAGTAAGTTTTCAAATCACACCAAAACTGGAGGTGCAGGGGACAGTGAAAAAGGTTACCTCAGAAATCAACAGGACATTGATCAGATGCACCAATGGGCTGAGGAGTGGCAGATGGAGTTTAAGTTAGAAAAAGGTAAGGTGCTGCATTTTGGAAAGGCAAATCAGGGCAGGACTTGCACACTTAATGGTAAGGTCCTGGACTGTGTTGCTGAACAAAGAGACCTTGGAGTGCAGGTTCATAGTTCCTTGAAAGTAGGGTCACAGGTAAATAGGATAGTGAAGAAGGCGCTTGGTACGCTTGCCTTTATTGGTCAGTGCATTGAGTATAGGAGTTGGGAGGTCATATTGCAGTTGTACAGGACATTATTAGGCCACTATTGGAATACTGTGTGCAGTTCTGGTCTTCCTGCTATAGGAAAGATATTATGAAACTTGAAACGGTTCAGAAAATGTTGCCAGGGTTAGAGGGTTTGAGCTATAGGGAGAGGCTGAATAGACTGGGGTTATTTTCCCTGGAGCGTTGGAGGCTGAGGAGTGACCTTACTGAGGTTTATAAAATCATGAGGGGCATGGATAGAGTAAATAGAAAGGTCTTTTCCCTGGGATGCGTGAGTCTAAAACAGGAGGGCATTGGTTTAAGGTGAGAAGGGAAAGATTTAAAAGGGAATTAAGGGGCAACTTTTTCACACAGAGGGTGGTGCATTTATGGAATGAGCTGCCAGAGGAAATGGAGGAGGCTGGTACAATTACAACATTTAAAAAGTGTCTGCATGGGTATATGAATAGGAAGGGTTGAGAGGGATATGGGCCAAATGCCGGCAAATGGCACTAGATTTATTTAGGATATCTGGCATGGATGAGTTAGACTAAAGAGTCTGTTTCCATGCGGTACATCTCTATGACTACAAATCTCACAGAGACGGCATAGTGGCTCAGTGGTTAGTACTGCTGTCTCATTGTGCCAGGGTCAGTTCCACCCTCGGGCAACTGTCTGTGTGGAGCTTGCACATTCTCCCTGTGGATGTGCTCCAGTTTCCTCCCACAGTCCAAAGATGTGTGGGTTAGCCATGCTTAAACTGCTGATAGTGTCCAGGGACGTGTAGGCTTGGTGGGATGGCTATGGGAAATGTAGGCCTTCTGGCATAAGGTTCACACTCCAAAGGTTTGTGATTTCAAATAAACCTGTTGGACTATAACCTGATGATATGTGATTTTTGACCTTGTCCATCCCAGTCCCACACTGGTACCTCCACATCATTGTCCTTTTTTTCACAAATACATGTCTGGCCTTGCTGATGCAATCAGGTTCTGGCTGCAAGTTTTATGAGAAGGGCTGAGTGTGATGTTAATTTTCCAGTTGGGTGACACACAGCTCCCACATCCTCACCCTTCCCTCACCCCCATCCCAGGCCCCAAGAACACTTTCCACATCAAACAGATCTTCACCTGCACATCTGCTAATGTGGTATACTGTATCTGCTGTTCCCGTTGTGGCCTCCTCTACATCGGGGAAACCAAGCGGAGACTTGGGTACCGCTTTGCAGAACACCTATGCTCGGTTCGCACTAAACAACTA